TTTTTCACTTTGGAATAATTTCAGATTAACAGAAAAGTTGAAACGGAAGCACACAGAGTTCCGCATCCCCTCTCTCGCCTGTTGTCCATGTTAACATCTCATGTGACCATGGAACATTTGTCCAGACTGAGAAACCAGCGTCGATACACTGCAGTTCACTAACCTCGAGACTTTCCCGCATTCCACCTGTTTTTCTGCTAATGTCCCTTTTCTATTCCAAGATCCCATGTTACATTTAGTTGTCATTCAGGCTGCTCTGGTCTGTGACAGTTTCTCAGCCTTGCCTCGGTTTGCATGATCTTGATGGCATTGAGAAGTAATGGGCAGGTATTTTGCAGAATGCACCCCCACCCCAGTCTGGGTTTGTCTGGCATTTCTCTCACGATTAGACTTGGGTTATGAGTTTGGGGTAAGGATTCTGCGGAGGCAGGCGCCCTTCCCGTCACAGCACATCAGGGGTACATGATGTCCATGTGACTGCAGATGGTCACATGATCACTTGGTTCAGGTGGGGTCTGCTGTTTCCCTACTGTTTCTCTTTGTATCTCTGCTCCTGGGAAGCCAGTCTGTAAGTCCCTCTCGTCTTCAGTGCATGGGGATTAAGCCCTGTCTCACGTGCGGGTCTTGTGAACCTTTGCAAGTCCTCGGCTGGTCCCCCGGTCCCGGCCTCCATGCTGTGTGTTGGAGAACGGGGAGATGGAGGTTGCCACGAGCCTGCACTGAAGAGAAGCCTGGTGCCCTGGGGAGCACTTGGTCCTGATCACTGTGCTTCATCTGAGTTTTATGCCCTTAAAGTAGCAGGTCGCCCTATGGTGCCTTCTAAAGATGGGGAAACTGAGAGGGGAACGGGCTTATCCAAACCCTCTCGAGCCCTCCTGACTGACAGCCTTAGGGAGAGAGGCTCCTGCCCTCAGCCCGCCCCTGCCCATCCTGTTCCCCGCTGTCCCAGTGAGGGGCTGCCGGATGCTTTCGGGAGCCATCTTTCTCTGTCCCTCGTGTTGTCACCAGTACCATCCCCATCCCTGCTGACTCACTGGCGCTGTTCCTTGGCCCACAGGGTGCCGGCCGTGGTGAGCAACGGAGATGCCGTGGACACAGCTTTCTCTGGAGTCCGGCACTCCAGCTGGAAGCGGAAGAGCTCCCGCCGCAGTAAGTGCCCTGCTCCCCAGGTCTTCGCCCCTGGAGGGTGGGGCCGGGACAACCTCAGAATCCTCGTCTCTAGGCCGAGAGCGCTTGCATGGGCTCACGCGAGCCGAGGGGTTGTCCTTCCTGGGTGTGCTGCCCTGGGCCAGGTAGCAGCTCCGAAGGGGACCGGCCGCTGCCCACGCTTTGGAGTTGCCCCCTTTGCTTCCTGACGAGAGCCACGGTCCAAGAGGGGACCACACATCTGTCTGTGTGTCGAGTCCTTAGATCCTTCCGGAACTGGGTGTCGGGTGCACCCTGGTGACCAAGACGAGGTCCCTCTGGGAGCAGAGCCAGATACACAGGCAGGCAGTTATCACACAGGTGCCAGGATGGGGAGAGCCAGGGGGCAGGGATCAGGGGACGAGTGTCCAGGTAGAGGGGCAGCTTGTGAAGAGCCCACAGTTGAGGGGATGCCTGGCACCGGGGAGCAGCAAGCCTCGGTATGACGGAGGGTAACATCTAAGAGGCGCATGGCGCGATGTGTGAAGCTCCCATCTCCCCAGCCTCCTGGGCCTCAGGGGCCATGCTTTCCCAAAGGCAACAGGGAGCCAGGGGCGGCAAGTGATGTGGCCACATTTGCGTTTTAGTCCAATCACTGTGGAGTGGGGCTAAGAGACACGAGACATAGGGGGTGGGCTTGAGCCCTGTGAGGAGGCTGTCCAGAGAGGGAGGCTGATGGCGAGTAGGTCAGAGGTCATGTGGGAGGCAGAATCCGTGGGGGGAGGAAGAAGGGATCCAGGACGAGGCTCCCACCAGGCTCTGGGGGCCCAGGGACAGCTGGAATCGGCACAGTTAGAACAGTGGGGACTTCCGAGTCCATCTGGTCCCATGTCTTTGAAGGGCTGTGGGGTGAGGACAGGTTCCCATTGGGGATGGGGACTGGTTTCCGAAACTGTAGCTCTGCAGGGGCCCATGCAGAGGGCAGAGAGTGGGCGCACAATTTTTTGGGGGGAGACCTCCTTAAATTTTGCATCTGCGGGGCTGTTAACACGGGCAGGGTGTGTGCTCTGCCCTGCTCTTAGCCTGCCCAGCAGAATGTTTGGAGAAGGATGTGTTCATTTGTTGAATTTTCACCAACCAAGACCCTGCTGGCTGAGTTTGGGGGGGGCTCTCCTTAACCCCACTCTCCAAATCCACCCTCCCTCCCCCTCATTCCTGTACTTACTAGGGCTGGTTTGCCCTCATCGCCTCTGGATGGGAAGTGGCTACTTCTGGGGTAGTGGGGGGGTCTGGGGACGGAAGATGCTCCTGTACTCCAGGGTACAGGTGCTGCGTCTGCTTCGTGTTCCCCACAGGTGCCCTGAGCAGCTGCCCGTCAGCCAGACGGGTAGACCTGTGGGTGCCAGGGAGGCAGATGGGCGTCTGCCCTGGTCACTGGGAGGGCCCCTTGCAGGGGCTGGGGACAGGGAGTGTCCTCTGCAGGTGGTGGCGGGGGCTCCCCAGGGCCCTGCCAGCTGGCGCAGGCCTGAGGTCAGCCTGGCAGCCGCCTGCAGCGGGGCCACCACAGCAGCGTTCCGTTCCCGCTTTCCTCTTCCTTCTTCACTCTCAGTTGACCGGTTCACTTTCCCCGCCCTGGAAGAAGATGTGATTTACGACGACGTCCCCTGTGAGAACCTGGATGCACTTCAGCCTGGTAAGCCCTCTCCTGCTTCCCTGCTTCCCCGCTTCTCTGGGGGAGGGATGAGTGGGTGGGAGGAGCAGGGACGGGGAGGGTCTTCTTCCATTTCCTTCCCTCCCCGCCCAGCCCATTGCCCCTCCTTCCTGCTTTTAAAAGCAGGCTGCAGTCATCTGGGAGAGTCCAGATGTAGCTGAGGGCAGGGCCAGGCTGGGGTGGGGGTGGGGTTAGGGCTTCAGGGCTGGGGATGCTGTGGCTTAGGGGCCCTGGGCAAGTCACTTCACCTCTCCAAGTCTCAATTCCTTCCTCAGAAAAATGAGGTAATAGTCTGGGCTTCCCAGGGCTGTTGGAGAAAGTGACAGCTTGTTAAAGCTGAATGGCGAGGCAGAGAATGCTGGGGAAAGCCTGCGCCCTACTGGGAACGTGGGGCGATGGTGGCTGTAGAGGGGACAGGGTGCGGGGCAGGCGGTGAGTCCTGCTGGAGCTGAGCCTGACTCACTGACCTGGGGAGGAGGAAGGGTATTTATTATCAATCCATCTTTGCTTGAACGCTTTAGATTGGTGACTCTCATGTCTGTCTCCTGTCTGCTTTGAGACTTTGATTTGGTGTATGTTATGATTTGGGGTGTGTAACATCCTCATTCTACAGACAAGGAAACTGTAGAGGCAGGGCTGGGATTCGAACCTGGGTCATTGTGACTCCAAGTGCAATGCTCTGTCTCCTACCCCAGGAGGACTGGGGCAGCGTCTTACGACATGATGAAACACATTTGCTGCCACTGTTCAAGCAACCTCGTGAGGTCGGCAAGGCTGGACTAACGGCTCCAGTTGACAGTCGCATCAGAGAGGTTAAGCCACCAGCCCTAGGTCACACAGCTAGGATTTTGTGACTCTGCTTTCCCTGCTACACTGTTCTGCCTGCTTTCAGGGGCTCCCCATGTGTGGAGCCCCTGCTTTTGAGGTGCTTCTAGTCTCATAGGGGCAGCTATCACCATCCTTGGGCTGCGCACAGTCCAATGGGAGAGACACACAGACAACATGACAGGCCCAAGGGCCCTCAGAGCCACACTCCTGACTCTTGTCCCAGAAAGAGGGACAAATGGGCCAACAATGGGGGCATCCGTTTTGGCAAACCCAGGAAGTCTTGGAACATCCCCGTCTATTGCTCATTTGAATCCAGGAGAGGGTGGGGAAGGGTGTGCTGTGCAGGGGGACAGTGGGGTCTTATAGGAAGGTCCCAGACCCAAGAGATCTGAGTGGCCTAAGGCCACCATTTAACCTCGTTGGGCTGTTTTCTCACCTGAATCAAATCAAGCAACTAGTTACTTGTCTCAGTCAGCGATGAGCACTATTGCGCCCCCAGATCTTCCTGGCACCCTGCAGTTCACCCTGAGGTGGTTAAGAGGAGGTGGCCTGGGAGTCAGAGAACCTGTGTTTGTATCCCAGCTCTGAGCCTGCAAATTGAGGACCACATGCCCAGGACCCCCATCTGCAGGGCTGTGGGAGGATTGAGTGAGACAAGGCTGTGGCCGGCCCTTAGTAGATATGCTGCACAGGGACACTGAGGTTGTTAGTATTATACCTTCCAGGGCCTAGCACTGACCTGTGTGGACCAACGTGGGCTCAGAGGGCACTCGGAGAGGAGGCAGCAGTTGAGGTGCAGGCCACATGCGCCGTGGACACTCATAGTCCTGGGTTCAAATCCTGGCTCTGCCATCAATTAAGGCACAGGGCTCCGTGCCTTTCTGCTTTGGCTTCTTCGTATACAATTGGAATGTCATCTTGACCTCACAGGAGTTTGGGGAGGTCACACCAGAGAACCTGTGCTTAATCTCTCTAGGCCTCAGTCGATGCATCTTTAACATGAGGGCAATAAAGCTGCATCCGTGGGTTGTTGTGAGGAGGCCAGGAGATGGCTGATATGGAGCACTGAACTGGTGGTGGCACGTGCTTTGGAAAAGGGGCCACGATCTTGAGCACTTGTGAAGCCCGAGGCCCCAGGAAGTGGAGAGCAGGGACCCGGACTGCCATGAGGCCCCCGGAGGCTGAGGGTTTGGCACAGGCTCAGGAGTCTGCCTCCATTGGAGAGAGGATTTCTAAATGAGCCCAGGGTCATCATCAGGATGGCGGGGCTTGGGCCGTAGGCACTGCGGTGAACTGGCGGAGCCGGCCCAGGAGTCTGCAGCCTGACCTTGGGCAGCCCACCTCTCTTCTCCAGGCCCGTTTTCTCATCTGTCTAATAGGAAGGGGTGATAATTTGCACCCTGCTGACCCCCTGGAAGTTAGTCGAGATGCCACCGTGGTTCTTTCTCAGGGGCAACCCCAAGAACGAGGCTCTGCCCCTTTGTTCATGCGTGGTGGGGCCTCCACTGCAGTAGCAGAGCCATCAGCCCAGCCTGGTAAAGGTCACAGCGTGGTCACCAGCTGCTCCACTCCCTGGAGACATTAGTCACTGTTATCTTTTACTTATAAATAACCTCAGGCTCTCTCCTGATCCTGGGACCCAGGTCTCCAGCTAAGCCTCTGTTAGTCTGTTTTGTTCTTTGGCTGACAATCTCCCAGACCCCCTACCGCCAGCTTTCCTGTGGGGTGCATGTGGGGGCTGGAGGTCAGTGCGATGACACCCAAGCCCACCCAGAGACCAGAGACCACATGAATAAGGGTCAGCTGCTCTTTGCTGAGCACCTGTCATGGGCCAGGCTCTTTGCTAGAGCTCTTTGTACCTATTTTATTTACTCCATCTCTCAGCTTATTATTATCCCTATTTCACCGAGAAGTCTCCAAAAACCAAAGCTACCCGTTTTTCAGCACACGTGCATTCTGAGCAGATTAAAAAACCCTTCCCAATGCCACATTTCTTCCGTGTTGACAATAGCATTTTCACCTTCGTGCACTTTTCAGCGCCTGGCCTCACTTTTGTGCGGTTTGTGGCTCAGGTCTTCCCCAGGTAACAGACCAGGAAGTGAAGCCCCGAGGAGTGAAGCTGAAGCCCAAGGTCTCCCAGAGGTGGGGCTGGGCGGGGCCGGGCCTCCCGTGTTCCAGTCCCAGGACAGTGGCTTTCCCACCTCAGCATGGAAGCAGCATCTCACACCTGGCTTGACAGGGACCCCAAGAGTGCCCTGGTGGCACCTGTCTCTAGTGGACTCTCAGGTCTTTGTCCCCAAGTTTCCAGTTCAAGGCATTTCCTGAGGGTCCTTGGAAGGAAAGGGAATGCACCTAGAGGCTGGGCCAGGTGCGCCCCCTACTGGATGGTCCTGAACCCATGTGGGAGACTAAAGGGCACTGTCTCTTTTACCCCCACATGCGGAGGCCAGAGCTGAGGGCTGAGTCAGGATTTGGTCCTAAGTCTTCTCTTCTCCACTGGAGAGTGCCTCGGAGGCCCAGGGTGAGCACTCGGCTCCCGGAGCAGTAGTGCTGACCGTGGGAGGAAATGATGGAGCCTGTCGTGTGCCTGACACATTTCTTGTACTTTCCTGCCTTTTCTGGTGTCCTCACTTTACTGGGTAGATGTCATGTTGTCATCACCTGTTTTATGGACAAGGAAGCGGAGGTGGAGCCCCATGCGCCTCCCTACCCACCCCCCATCTGCCCCGCCGGGCTCGGAATTAGGGCCTGGTGGGCTTGGCTTCAGGGCCTCCACTCACCAGCCCCGTCCTTTGGCCAGCAGGGGCGGAGAGGAACCTGGCCTATGAGGACGTGCACCGCGTCGGGGCGCCCAGGGAGGCCAGGGAGGCGGAGGACCTAGGCTGGAGCTCCAGCGAGTTTGAGAGCTACAGCGAGGACTCAGGGGAGGAGGCCAAGCCGGAGGCAGAGCCCGCCAAGCACCGAGTGTCCTTCCAGCCCAAGGTGAGGAGGTGGGGGCGTCTCTCATCCCACCCAGGGCACCGAGACCCCCTCAGAGAGCGGGGAAGGAGGGTGGTGAGTGCCAGGCCTGCGACTTGTGTCTATCTAAACAGCGATTCCCAGAAATACGTGGTGAGAGAGGAAATGGCCCAAGTATCTCGAAATGGGAGATGACCTTCCGGCATTGCCGTTTGACCATGCAGGGCCCTATGTGGGATGGGCGCGGTTAATACCTGGCACAGGTGCTCCCCCCAGCCCACGCCTACAGCTGATCCCGGCATCGATCACGATGCTCGTGGGCTCAGATCTGGCTTCAGAATCCTCAACACGGTGTTCCGGGCAGCCCCGGCAGCTGATTAGAATGGGCACTCGGATCAAATCAGTTGGATCCTCCTACCTTGCAAGAGCAGTTGAGATCCACACAAGTCTTCTTCCCTGGGGACGTGAACAGGCCGGGGCTGCTGTGGCTACGGGAGCTGCCCCGGAGGCTCCGAGGCCTTTCAAAGTGCCATCCACCCTGGCACTTCGGTGTTTCTGCCTGGAGCAGGGTTCATTCTGCTGATTTCAGGGCGGGAGCCGTAGAGGCCGAGAGGAGGATGGATTGTCTGGTTCCTCCTCTCCTGCGACAGCTTCACTCCTCCCACTTATTCTGTGGAAGCCACCAGAAGGCAGATTCTGTCCATGCCGAGATTTGGGGTTTAAAGGGAACAGCTTCTCACAGGCAGGCCCTGCCCGACCAGAGGTGATTGGGTCCTTTGAAAAGACACGCATAGGCAGGTGGGCTCAACCCATTGGCCAGTCCTGCCTGAAGGTGGGGCAGGGACAAGGCAGGGGGGTCCTGGACCGGGCTGGGATTTCGGTGGCCTCCGAGTCTTTCCTAGTTCCTCCTGGCACTTTCTGAGTTCAGGGGTCCTCTGTGGGAGAGGTGCGCTGGCCAAAGTGGCCCCCACACCTAAGAGTTTTCAGACTTTCCTCAGATCAGGAAGGGCTCCCTAAGGAGCCTGGGGGCTAAGCAGGTCTCTGCCGAACCCCAGTCTTTTCCTGGCTGGGCCTCCTTGGGCCGAGCCATGCAAAATGGCCTCGATGTCATGCTAGCAAAAACGTTAAGCATCTCTCACACCTACTGTGTGCCCAGTCCATACTTTAGGGTATAGGCTGGGGTATATGGGAACAGAAAGACAGGACCAGGCTCGGGGAACCTATGTGGTCTGGGAGGAGATACCGAAAATGAAACAATTTGTTAAAAATGAAGACAAAATGCCTGTCTGTAAACATGACTGATGGCTGTCTGCTTGACGGGTGGGACTTGATGGGGCTAGTCAGAGGCGGCTGCCAAGAGAGGTAAGCTGGGAGCCGCGACACAGAAGCCAGAGGGGACAGAAATGTGTCCCAGGCTGGAGAAATGGCCCAGGTGAAGGCCCAGGAACAGGCCCTTCCAGCTTATGTCCTCAGAAGGAGCAGTGTGCACTGCTTTAGGGGAGAAAGGGAGCTTTGGTTATGAAGCCACCATGTCCCCTGGGCGGCCTCTTGATAGGAGGGCAGGACGGGTGCATCTCGGCCCTGCTCTGGGCAGTATGAGCAGAGGGACTGGCTGTCTGGGCCAGCCCTTGTTCTCAGCCTCTGGCTGTCTCTCCTAAGCCCCCACGGCCCTTTCCTGGCCCCTGCTTTCTTGTTGGGGACTGGGCGGGTACTGTAGGCACCTGCCTCTCAGAGGACAGGGGCACGGAGATGCAGAATTTGGCCTCATTAGTGCTGGTCCTCAGATTTGCATGGGCATCAGGGTCACATGGTCGCTAGTTGAAATTGCAGATGCCAGGGCCTCACTCCCCTCAGGGACTCTGATTCAGGATTGGGGTGCCGCATGGCAATCTGCTCTTTAACCAGTGCTGTGCCACCAAGGGATGCCAGGGGCCCACAGAGCACTCTGTGGATACAGGGCCTAGCCGCAGGGGTGGGGTCTCTGGCTGTTGCCATGAGCTCACATCCCTCACACCCTGGGGCTGGCGCTCTGGGCTCTTCCTCAGCAGACAGACAATGTGGCACAATCTATGGAATTTCTAACCACAGGAACTTTTTCTCTGGCCATGGGTCAAGGAAGCACAGCAGGCTTCCAGGAAGATAGGGGACTGTGGAGGAGTCCTTCCTCTGGCACCCACATCTGCCTGGGAAACCCCCTGAGCCCTGTCTGTGGTGCTCTGCCCTCCTGAGCTGCTTGGGATGCAACTGCTTCCATGCGTGGCACTGCAGAGGCTGGATGTTTTGGGGCTACTGCTGCTTGGCTGTGTGTCGTGTAGCTGTGGGGCACTGGGCAGCAGAGGTCTGGGGAAGTGTTTTGTCCTGTCCTTGGAGTCTGGCCGGGGGCCTGGCCTCCCACCCAGCTGCAAGAGAACTAGTGTAACTCCTTCAGAAGTCCCGAGAAGCCAGCCCTCTGGGGAAGGATTTTTGCCAAAGTGATGGAGGGGTCTGCAGAGAGACCACCCTGGAATCAGCTGACCCAAGTGTAAGCAGGTGCCTGGTCCTGTTATGTTATAGGTACCTGCTGGTTGCCACCTCTGGTCTGTGGGAATTATTCTTTTTCTGGTTGTAGGATGAGCTGCATTGAATTTTTCCACTTTCTGATTATGACCTCTTCATAATCAAGGTCGTCCTGATCCAGCTGGTCAGGGGACAGAGCAGAAATGCCAGCTCTGACCTCAGCCTTATTCACGGGCCTGCCCTGATCTGGCCAGTTCTGCAGGTGACTTCCGATCTGGTTCTTCTGATCCTTAAGAGGTAGAGGGCATCGGACAGCCTGGGGGCCTTGTGATTTTATCGTATCAATCTTATTTACAGATAAAATGGGACTCAGTACAAATTTTACACTACCCATTTTTGGAGGAGCCTGAGTAACTCACAGAAGGATCCCAGTTCTACTACTTCTTTGCATAACGGTTGTAAACCTTTGCCTAGAGTGGTATATATAGCTTACAGAGCAATTTAATTTATTTTTCCTAATACCATAGAGTGGTTGGTATCATTGGAATTAAAAGTCTCATTTTTATTGATCAGAAAACCTACATGACTGAAGTTCAGAGAGGTTAGATGATGTGGGTAGGGTCCATCTGTCTGTCTGTCTGTCCATCCATCCATCCATCCATCCATCCATCCATCCATCCATCCATCCATTCATCCATCCATCTATCCCACCATCTATCCATCCATTCAATAGATGTTGAACACTTATTTGAATAAAACAGTATAATAATAGCTTCCCTTTTTTGAGTACTTACTAAGCTCTGAGCTTTATATGTATTTTTCATTTAATCTTCTCAACAACTCTGAAGCACAAGTAGTTATTATTATGGCGAGTTTACCAATGCAGAATCTGTAACTCAGAGAGGCGAAGAGACTTTTCTAGCTAGTAAACAGGGAATGGTGATTTGAATGTGGGCTTGCCTGCCCCCAGAGCCCTACTCATGATCCTTCTACTCGTCTACTTCTTAGAAGATACGTCTATCTTGGTCTTCTGTTTACTTTACCAAATATCACTATTGTTCATACATTTCATGCATTTAAATGTCTATCTGTTCACCTGTCCATCCATCTTCCCAGATAGTATGTAAGCCAGTCACCCATCCATTCTTCCACCCAGTTGCCCACCTACCCTCCCTATCTCCCTCCTTCCCTCCACTCATCCACCCCTTCCTCCAGTGGTATGCTAGAGCCAGCTTGTCCTAGCTCCCAAGAACTCAAGAATCAATTGTGTGCATCTCTTTCCAGCTCTACATTCAGTGATGTCAGGTTGGTAGCTTGAAATTGGCCAGGTTGGAGCATTCACACCATGGAAATGCTACAGAGCAGGGCTCTTTTTGCTGGAGAAGGTCGTTGAATATTTACCAGCACAGTGTTGTCTTCATCCAGCCACCGGTCCATTCTTTCATTCATTTATCTATTCATTCCTCGATTCATTTGCACCACTATATAGTTACCTAACTAAAATTATCCATTTGCTCACCCATAGATTTGTCTGTTCATCATCCATCCATCCATCCATCCATCCATCCATCCATCCATCCATCCACTAACCCAACTATCCATCCATCCATCTGCCTGTCCATCTACCCTTTGTCTGTCTGTTTTCCATCAATCTGTCCAACCATTCCTCTATTCATTCTCCTATCTTTCTATGCATTAGCCTGCTCATCCATTTCTACCCTTGCCCACCCGTTCCGCCCATCCATCCACCTGCACTCCATCCGTTTTACAAAGCCATCAAGAACCTATGTCACAAGCCCCTGGGATGGGGAGATGACACAGACATAGTCCTTGTTCTCTGAGCATTGTTCCCTTTCCCCCAGAGGGAGGCCCAGGCTATTCCCCTCCCACCTCTCCTCTCCAGCAGCAGGGTGTCTGCTCTAGAGACCCAGCCCTCAGCTTCCTGGCAGGTTGGAAGTTGGGGCTGGGTGCTGCTGGAGCCCATACCAGGTAGGAGCCTGGCTAGACTGCTGCTTGGGTCCTGGTCATCCCCAGGTCCCAAATCCCGCCTGCTCCAAGTTGTCCATCTGCCACCTTATCTGAGTCTCCTTTTTCCTCTGTTGTCTGTGTTTTGTCTCTTGCTTGTCCTGCCTGCTCCTCTCACCTGCTCTCCTTCTGCCTGGCTGCTTGGGGGCTCCAGCTTTCTCCAGACCTGACTAGGCTAAAGGAGAAATACGCCAGGACTAAGAGAGACATCTTGGCTTTAAGAGTTGGGGGGAGAGACATGCAGGAGCTGAAGCACAAGTACGATTGTAAGGTATTGTTTGTCTGTCCCTCCCAAGTCCTGGGTGGTGCCCCTGCCTTTCCTGCTGCTCCTGGGCTCTGCGGAGGGTGGGCCTGTATCCCGGGGCTGCCCCCGAGACCTGGAACTGGCTATATCTCACATCTGTGCTGGAACTGGTTGATGCCTTAGCCAGCTGGTTTCTTTCCATGTTCTTGCCTCTCTTTCTCCCCCCGCTCAAGTGACATCTTAACCATTTATAGGAATGCCCGGGTAGGTTTTCAAACTTGAGGGCCCTCAGAATCACCTGCAGATTCCCAAGCTCCGCCACCAGAGATGTTGATAATGCAAGTCCAGACCAAGGCTCTGGACTCTGTATTTAATAACTATGGTGGGTGGGTTTGGGTTACACTTTGTACGTTCCTTCCCCTTTGAGCTGTTCAGAGAGATCCAGGATAAGGATGTCTGTAGGAGAAATCACAGACTGACTCAGACTTCTGGATAATGATGATGTTGACAGCAGTAGCTTCCATTAAATTTGCACCTACTGTGTGCTATGGGCTTCGAAGGCCCGCAGGCCTGGGTTTGAATCCCTGTCCCACCACTTCCTCCCTGTGTGATCCTGGACAGGCCTCTTGACCTCTCTGAACCTTGGTTTCCTTGCCTGTGAAATGGGGGCAGTACCAGCCCCCAGGGTGGATGTTAGGATTAGATGAGCTCAGGTCTGTGAGTTGCTCAGTGCTGTGCTTGGCACAAGCTGAGACCTTGGTGGATGGTGGCGTTATTATCTGTGCGCCTGACTGTATTGTCCCCAGGGCACCCTCCTATGCCTTACTGCTGTCACTTAGCATTAGTGAGGCCAGCGAGAGAAATACCTGGCTGGCGGTCATGCCAGCGGGCAGCAGCTGGGGTTCAAACCTGTGTGTTCTCCATCCCATGGCACTGCCCTCTTCATCAGGTCCCGAAGCCTCCCCAGGAGGAGGAGAAGAGCATTTTACAGTTTCCAGGGCCCGGGTACGAGCGCCCCTGAGAGCCCTGGGGCCTGGCGTGGGGGTCGGTTGAACTTCTCGGGAAGCTGATGCCCAGAGAGGAGCCGGGAGCACATGAAGGACAGAGCCCAAGGCCGAGCTGCTTCCCCCCGGCCCGGCCTCTGAACTCTGAAGATGGGTGGGGGTGGCAGGTTAACTCAGGGACTTTTGGGGTACTCACCTTTTCTTTTTTGCCAGAAGGGCCTTAGATAGTTTCCCCAAAGACTATTTGGGGGTTCCTAGGACAGCCCCCCGAAGGCTGTCTACCAAGATAGGAACCAGGCTCCAGGACAGGGGTTTCTCACTGGGGGGTGGGTTGGGGGAGTTGTGGCCCCTCCCGGAAGAGGATGAGCATGTTTGTACAGTTTTTGGGGTCAACATCTGTCCCTCTTGTTAGTTCTCAAAGATGTTTGTAACCCTCTCCTTCCCAAAGGCCAAGAATTACTGCTCTAGAATTTCTGTTTAAATACAGGGAAGGGCTGGGGACTTTTCTTCTACCCTGTTGGTTGTTTCTAGAAAGCTAGCCTTGTTCTTGAAAAGATACCACCCTACCCCCCAGCCTCAGAGCCCACTGGGTTTTCTACAAACTTTCCTGGCCCAAACCCCCAAGAAGTGCCGAGACGCTTATGCCAGGGACCCAGGGGGTGTTTGGAGGAAGGCGATAGTGAGAGCAGAGACCAGGGACCCCCCAGATAAGTGCTCCCCACTTTCAGTTAGAGAACTTCAGGAAGGAGAGGGTTTTCCTAGAACTGCACTACTATGATAGGCACATGGTTATTTAAATTTAAATTAATTAACATTAATTATAATCAGGAATTTGGGTCCTCAGTTACATCAGTCACTTTTCGGACATTCGATGGTGACATGTGGCTAGTGGCTGCTGTGTCGGACAGCACAGAGACAGAGCATTTCAGCCCTTCCAGAAACTTCTCTTGGACAGTGCTGGCTGTGTGTGGGGGAAGATGCCAAAGCTGGGCTGGGAGGGGACAAAAGAATGAGGGGACAGCAGCTCTGTTTGCAGGCCCTGGGCTCCCCCAGCACCCGGGGTGCCTGCTTCCTCTCCACATCCTCCCGCACCCCACATTCTGCTCAGCTGGCTGTGCCTGTGTCCGCGGGGCCCTCCCTCCCTGCTCGGGGAAGTTGCACCCCGCACTTCACCCTTCTCTCCTTTCCTGGGCAGTGGCTCAGTAAGAAACCTGGGTGTTCGGGGGGCAGGGCACGGGGGTTCCCGGGTTCAGCCGGTGGTGGCATTGTGTACTCACCTCCTTCTAGTTGCCCCTTAAGTAAACACCGACATTTGTATGGCTAACGTTTCTGTCCAGTGTGCTTTCCCAGATCCTGCCGTTTAGTTCTCACAGACCCTGGCGAGTCTCAGTGAGGAAGCTGAGGCTCCGTGAGGTTTCGACTTGGCCCAAGTCATGTCGCTGGGGAGTGGCGGAGCTGGGAACCCAGGCTAGGATTCCAGGCCTCGAGCCGTTCCCCTGTGTGACACCTTCTCCTTAATTTGACAGGAGTAGATACCCGTGTAATTTGTCCAAAAGGGGAAAAAACATCAAGTTAGGACCACCCCTTTCTCACAAAGAGGGTTCCCCCAGGGATACCTTGGGGCATGAATGCCCCTTCTCACCCCATCCCAGTAGCTCTGTCCCTCTAAGCCGCTGCTGCCCCTCCCTGGGAGGGCATGGGCCCCCGGGTCTTGATGCTGGGAGGCCTTGGTGGGGCTGGTGGCCCTTGGTGGCAGGTGTTCCAGGGCCTGCCTCCGCTTCTCTGACGAGCCCCTCTGCCTTTGCCCAGATGACGCAGTTCATGAAGGCGGCCAAGAGCGGGACCAAAGACGGGCTGGAGAAGACCAGGATTGCCGTCCTGCGCAAAGTGTCCTTTTTACACAGGAAAGATGTCCTTGGTGAGGCACTGTGGCCGGGACTGGGAGGGTCGATGCTCAGCCCTGTCGCAGTGGGGCAGGTGGGCGAGGTCACTTGGTGTCTGCGCTCCTCTGGTGGTGGAGCTTGGGGACTGAGCCCCAAGTGTCCCGGCAGTCAGTCCCAGCCTATTTCCTACTTCTCTTGGAGGTGTGGCCTTCTCTCCCGGGAGACGTGGGGCCTGTCTCTTCAGTGTCCCTGCCCTTGCCCTTTGTCATGGCCTCCTGCTGGCTCACTTGGCCTCATCTTTGAGTGCTCTTATTCACTCCTTCCTTCATCCATCCACCCATCTCTCCGCCAGCCAGTATTTACTGAACACCTACCACGTGCCATGCCCCACGCTGGGTGCAGGAACACCACGATGAATCGAACAGCGTTTCCCTCCAGGTGCTGCTGGTGCAGTCGGGGACACAGGCATGCAAGTGGCAGTGACAGTGCAGATGACAGTGATGTGGCGGGGTCCACAGTGAGCTCTGTTTGCAGGCCTCCAGAAGGAAATGAGCAGAAGATGTGGGAGTGGATGGCAGGTCAGAGAAGGGCTGAGAGCAGGAGACGGGGACCCAGGTCAGTCAGAAGCGGGGCACGGGGAGGGGACCGGGCACTTGGGGCACAGGAGCGAGGACATGCAAAGGCCAGGAGCAGGGGAAGTGTGAAATGTCCAAGAAATGATTTTTGTGATAGTCCGTATTTGTCGAGTCTATGTTGTGTGCTAGGTACTCCTAAGAGCTTTATAGTTCTTCACTTAATCCTTATAAACACTAAACAGCTACAGAGGACTGTCCTGCTCTCATTCAGAGATGAAGGAATAAGCACAGAGATGTTCAGTGACTTGCCTGGGGACACACAGGCATGGAAAAGGTGGAAGAGGCTTCTTCTTCTGGTTGTAGTGAGGGTAGGGGTGAGAGCTTGGGAGGGGCCAGGTCAGCATAGCTGATAAAGCCAAGGAGAACTTTGAGGCTCTGTGCCCTCTTGAAAAGTTATATATTTCACCCTCTCTGTCTTCAGTTTCCTCTTCTAGACAGCGGGCTAGTAAGGCATCTGCGTCGGGGGCCGTGGTGAGGATGGCCGAGGTGGTGCACGGGAAGAGGCCGGCGTGGCTCTGGCTCCCACACGCAGCCGTTATTCTCCGTGTTCGGGCGCTAAGGGGAGGTGCTTGGTGCGAGCAGCACATCTCACTGACCTGGCTTTAGATCCCGGCTCCACGGCCTCGCAGCCATGCGACTCGGCACAGTCCTTCACTGTCTGTAAAATGAGTCTAATCCCACCACGACACGTACCGGGTGCAGCGCTAAAGCTTTGGGGGAGCTCTGGCCCCCGACAAGAAAGGAGACGGGCCCAGGAGCCGTTCCAAACTTTGTGAAGTGGCCCAGGGAATGGGCAGGGTGGACAGGCCGGCCGGCCAGGAGCTGATCCTGGTCACCCTCCCCACCCCCAGGCGTGGCGGTCAGCGGGCTCTCCCCAGGCCCTCCCCACCCCGTCTGTTAGCCCAGAGCCTTTCCTAAAGTGACCCTCCCACCAGAGGCGTTATTAATAGCCACAGCAGGGCTCAAATCTCCGGCCAAGAATGTTACCCAATGGCGCATGGGGGAAGAGGAAGCCGCGGGGCCCGTGGCTGGGGTGGGTGCGGAGTGATGCCCAGGGGACCATGTGGGCCAGGCAGGAGGGCCCTCACCACCCCCACGCCCACGCCGTCGTCCGCTGTCCCTCCTCCTCCTCCTCTTCTGTCTCCTGCTCAGGTAAGGGCCTGCCTGGGTGTCCCTGTCCCCTCTGCAACCTGGAGTCACTGCCACTTCTCTTTTCTTCCCAGCTTCCCCACAGCACCCACTTCCTGCTGCCCACGGCCGCTGCCCTTGGGTTTCAGAGCCATGAGCAGCCAGGGTCCCGTCTCCCTGTGCCTCTCTCTCTCTCGCTTGTGGGGCCGGACCTCCAAGGTCAGACCCCTGCACGCTGCCTGGCTTCCCCTCTTTCGCGGTCTGGGCCTCTGTCCCCTCTGTCCTCTGTCTGAGACCCGCCCCCACTCCTCCTGAGTTGCTCTAAGGACACCAGCTGAACTTTTCCCTCTTGGTTCTTCGCATATATATATATTTTTTTTGAAAGATGAAAACACAAAGCCAAATAGCCTGTTTTCTCGGGGCTTTCTTCCTCCTTTTAGGCATCCAGAAGAAAACTATTTTTAGTGCCTAGTGATGGGGACATGGGCGGCCTGGCCCTCGCCAGGCCAGAAGCGGGCGGGTCTGAGCAGGGACGGTGACTTCTGGTGGAGTGGATTCTAAGAGCAGAGCCCCCACCACTCACTGCTTTGTGTTCCCTTCCTCCCTCCCTTGCTCATGTTTATTTGGGGACAGACTATTCTAGCAGACTGTGGCTGTGGATACAGTGACTGGGCTCTGGCCCTGTGTGGCCCCAGGAGCTGCTCATTCCTCAGGACTCTGGGCTAGGGTGGTTCCCAGCTCATGGAGTCTGAGCAGGGCATGTTGTCCTTGCCTTGCCTGTGTCACTAGCCCATCTGACTTTCCAGGTGACTCGGAAGAGGAGGACATGGGGCTCCTGGAGGTCAGCGTTACGGACCTCAAGCCTCCAGCCCCGGAACTGGGCCCCATGCCAGATGGCCTGAGCCCTCAGCAGGTCTGTGGGAAGAGCAGGGGGCAGGGGTCTTCCGGGGAAGGGATGGTCGAGGGTCCCAGCCTATTACCTGGAGCTGCAAGGTCTGTGTCTTGAAGGGGAAGTGACAGTCGGGGCTCTTGGCAGAACCCCAGCTGGGCCTCTTGGGTTCTCGTCTCAGCCAGATGCACAGACTTTCCTAACTGGGCCCTGTGGGTTCCGCGCTGGTGTCCTGGGGATGCTGGGGCCCCAGCACTTGAAGCTCTTGCTTCCCATGCCCACGGCAACCGAAGCAGTTTTAGCTGTTTCAGACGAAGGTGTTCGACAGAAGAGACTGCAATTCAAAAAGAGCTGAGAAGCCCTGAGCTAATCCAACTCCGGGGGCGGCGAGGTGCCCGGCCCCACCCTCCGCCCAGCTCAGAGCCACCGCCGGCGTCCTCGGCTTCCCCCAGAAGCTGGGGCTCCCTGGGAAACGTCTTCCTTCTCCCACAGTGTCACACTGAGATCGGGGTGGCTTAGCTCTGGGAGGCACAGGTCCCTTCTGCCCCTCAGCCATCAGTTCCCCTGGGCATAACGATTGTTCTGTCACCTGGGGCTGTGCCCCTGGCAGGTGCTGGCTCTGTACCACGGTGGGCGCAGGCACTGACTGTGTTTCCGGCCCGGGTAGGTGGTGCGGAGGCACATCCTGGGCTCCATCGTGCAAAGCGAAGGCAGCTACGTGGAGTCTTTGAAGCGGGTGCTCCAGGTATGACTCCAGGGACTCTGGGGAGAGGCAGGGAGGGCCACTTTGCAACGAATGTTTGGGGACTGTGGACAGTTTTAAGGGGAAGAGGCCAAAGATCAGCTCTTTTATGGGGACAGGTGGACCTCCAAATTGGGACATTAAAAATTCCTGATGCCTTGGTGTTCATGGGAGGACTGCATTTTCTGAAACAAATTGGGGTTCCATGAAATGAAGCCGTCCTGGACAGCTGAGGGCATGTGGTCCCTTTCATGCCTGGAAGGGACCATATTTTCTTCACCTCTTTGGAAGCCCCTGGGATGGGGCTGTGTCTCCCTTTTATGTTGGAGCTCCCCACAGCAGGAAGGAGGACACATCTGCCCCTGGGATGGGGCCGTGTCTCCCTTTTATGTTGGAGCTCCCCACAGCAGAGAGGACACATCCTCTCTCACCATCAGTTGCCCAGGGATCGCTAAGTAGATGCTCGTGTGACTTGACTAAGGTGTGCCCACTTGGTCTATTGTTTACATTCCTGAAATGGTGAATCCTTTGGGGTGTTTCGGCTCTCAGAATGAGGCCAACAGAGAAGGGGATTTTCAGGCTGGGAGAGTGTTAATAACGCCCTCTCTTCCCCTCCCGAGGTCAGAAGCCCCGAGGGGAGCCCAGACCTCAAGCAGGTGGAGATGAAAATATCACGTGTTTCTGACAAAGCTGGTTGGAGTGTGGCTTTAGGTCCGGGGTGGGCGGGGAGAGCTGGCTGTGACATCGTTGCCACTGCTCCATTAGACGTACTGGCTCAGTCGTAGGCAGACCTGAACAGGGCCAGGCTGGCCCTGGTTGGGGGGGGGTGGTGGGGTTGGGGCTGCTTGTGGCGAGGTCCTCGCAGGCAGGTGTCTCTTCCTCCCAACTCCGCTTAACCCAAATCGTGGGGATGGGCTGCGGGTGGGCAAAGAGGGACCAGGAGGGTCACATTCACAGAGATCCTTCCAGAGGACAGCGGAGGGTACGGGATACGTGTCTGACAGGGAGGTCCACCTATGGCCTGCCGAGTTCTGAGTGGCCTTGTCGGGGTTGCCACGAGGGCGGGTGGGTGGAGAGGCTGGGGTGCTCACTCCACCTGCCCTGGCAGGATTACCGCAACCCCCTGATGGAGATGGAGCCCAAGGCGCTGAGCGTCCGCAAGTGCCAGGTGGTGTTCTTCCGCGTGAAGGAGATCCTGCACTGCCACTCCATGTTCCAGATCGCCCTGTCCTCCCGCGTGGCTGAGTGGGACTCTACCGAGAAGATCGGGGACCTCTTCGTTGCTTCGGTAGGTATCCCCAAACTTTCTTTCCCCAGTCCACCAGTGGAAAAGCCATAGCCTGCCTGACCGGGAGCTCTTCTGGGCCAGCCTCCTGCCTCTGCCTGGTCACTTTGTCCAAGCCAGCGGGGTCAGAGGGTGGCAAGGCCTAAATCTGCCGTGTGGCCTAAGCTAGGGGTACCTAGTATGTCCTTGGAGATGTCTGCAGGCATGGTGCCGGTGAAGCCAGCCCACTGCCCTGGTTCTGCCCAGGTGGCAGCACCGCCAGGAGACCGGCCACTGTGGGCAGCCACCCGGCCAGTCTGAAGCCCCCCTGCCGAGCACTCCCAGAGTGCCCACTGTCTGAGATGCTGCAACAGACTATGGCCTTGCCCCCGGAGGATGCTGCAGGGTGTCGGGGCATATGTGCTGCATCACGCTCCAGGAGACCTGGCCTATTTCCAGCCTAGTTTTGCCACATGGGGCAGCTCCAGGGCCCTTGGGCCTCATGCCTCTGTGGCATGAGCGGGTAGGCTGGACTTGGGGTTTTTTTAAACAGAAATCCATGGGCCTCATAGAGATTCATGGGACAAGGGAAGGTAAAGTCAGCAGAACTCCACTCTGATCTGTTTTAGGTAATTGGGTTCTGCTAAAAGAAAAATAGTATTGTTTTGAAAATCTCAGTGCTCAGTAGATCTGACCCCGACCCCTTGGTAAGTGTGTCCAAGGAGTTTGGGGTCAAGAGCGCTGTCCTTGAGGGTTGAGGGCCAGAGGCCGTTCATTCCTGGGGCTGGTGAGGAAGAGCATGTAGAAAAGGGGCTGGCTGTCACCCCTGCCTCCCGCGACCACCTGTGGGCCGGGGCTGCCTGCCGGGGTGGGAGGAGCCTCCTGGGCTCTCCTAGCCACCACCTCCTCCTCCTTGCAACCTCAAGGGTTCCCTCTTGGCCTCTCTGAGCCAGGTTTCCTACTCTCAGTGGGGTGACAGTTTCCCGACCTGAAACTAGTTGAGACCCTCCAGGGGGTGCCATCAGAATAGTGTGGCGGCAGTGAGGGTGGGTGCGGGGGGCAGTGAGGGCGGGCGGGGGTGCTGGCACCCCTCCCCTCACGTTGATGTGATCCTCCCCCGCCGTACCCTCGCCCCTTTCAGTTCTCCAAGTCCATGGTGCTAGACGTGTACAGCGACTACGTGAACAACTTCACCAATGCCATGTCCATCATTAAGAAGGCCTGTCTCACCAAGCCTGCCTTCCTCGAGTTCCTCAAGGTGGGCCTTGAGAAGGTGGTGGTCCAGGGCCCCTCTCAATGGGGTGCTGGCGATGGTGGGGCAGGAGGGTGTCTCAGGAGAGAGGGGACATTATAGTCCAGCTTCAGGTATCATGTTGCTTTGGCCTGGACACCTCCTTTCTTACAGGCACCCCAACCTCATGGGATGATAGTGGGTCCCTCTTACCCCCGAGCAGGAGGGTGATAAAGAGTTACAGTGTCTGTTGGCCTCTTGGGATCCTAGGCTTTGCCGGGTGGAAGGAAAGGCCTGTGCCATCTCGAGGATGGGTGAGATGATGGGGGATCTGCTGTGGGGAGACCCAGCAGGGTTGGGGCTGTGTTCCCTTGGCAAGCTGGTTGTGGTTGGGTCTCCAGGTGTGGCTCAGGTTGTCACTGGGCTGTCTCTTTTCCTCGTTTGTAAAAGGGCAAGGAGAATTCCTCAAAGGGGTGTCTTGGGGCTCACATGGGAGATTAGAGGTAAAAGGACCAAAGGCCTTGTGGCCAGGCTCCCCCCGACTTCCTGGGGTGCACGGTCAGATGAGGTAGACGAAGATCTCACCACAGGGAGCGTGCTGTGTAGTGGGGGGCGCAGCTGGGACAGGAGCCGGGACCTCAGCTGAGGTACTCACTGTCCTGATCCCAGAGGGTCAGGGGGCTTTCTCTGTGGGATGCTATCTGCCGTGGGTCCCAGGGGGATGGTGGTGTTGTAACAGGTGGAGATGGAGGAGAGGGTGTTCTAGGTGTAGGAGTTATAGGGCAAAGGTCAGAGGCAGGAGGATGGGAGCAGGTGAGTCTGGTTGGATCTTGGGAGCACCAGGTGCCCAAAGGGAGTCCCAGGAGAGAAGGCCCAGTGGCAGCTGAGTCAGTGTGGGTGGTTCTGGACCTCCAGGCACAGGGGCTAGGGTGTGGTGTTTCAGGCAGTGGGGAGCTGCTGACGAGTTTTGGGCTGGGGCAGGTGGAAGTGGAGGCCAGTGGTGAGGCTGTGGCTACAGCCCGGGTCTCAGGGGATGAGGGCTGGGTCAAGGGGACAGGTATGTGAATGGTGTGCCCAAAGCAGATAGAAGAGACAGGACAGTGGGCACCCCGGGCCACCCCTCACCCTGGCGCGGGCCCGGCCGCTTTAGCTCACATGGAGGAATGTTGGTCTCGGCTGCTTCCGGAGGTCCAGCCTCTGCAGTAAATTGCTGAATTTCCCAGTTATGCTTTTAGTCCAGAGACTTAACATGATGGCTCTAGTCTCCCCAGGGTGAGGGGCTGTTCAGGGACCCCTGTGGTGGCAGGGAGCCCTGGCTGCGGAACCAGAGACCCCCCTGGCTCTTCTCTCAGGCCCGAGGCTGAGCAGAGTCCTGGGCCTGGGGAGAGGCGCCTAGGCCAAGCAGCATCTGCACCCTGGGGCGCTGGGGCCTCGCTGCAGCGGGTCAGCGAATGACTCCACTTCGTCCCCAACAGCGGCGGCAGGTGTGTAGCCCCGACCGCGTCACGCTCTACGGGTTGATGGTGAAGCCCATCCAGAGGTTCCCTCAGTTCATCCTCCTGCTTCAGGTACTCGCCAGGATCCTGGCGTGGGCTGGCGGGGGCCTTGTGGGGTGGGGGCTTTTCATCTGTCATCCACGGCCTGCACATCTGCTGTGGGCTGTGGGCAGGTCCTCAGCCCCCGGTCCCGTTGTCCCCACTCCTGGGGTGGAGCCGAGCAGATCTGACAGCTTATTTTCCACCTCTCCAGTGCAGAAGGCTAAGTGACTGGTGGTGGGTGAGCCCAGGGTGCGGGAAGGGAATGAAGGTGCGTGGAATTCCCAGGACCTGTGGGTTCTTGGCAGGGAGGAGATGCTCACTGAATAAGCCAACCTTGGCCACTTCGGCCTTCCCAGGGAGTGTTAGCCCCCACGTGGGTTCTCGAGAGCTTGGGACACCTCCTCTGATTGCCGAAGGTCCTCAGTCAGCGGGGCGAGCCCCAGCTGCCCAGCTGGGAAAGGTGGCTGCCAGCCTAGGGCCCCGGTAGCGATTTCCCGTCCTCGGAGTTGCCAGCTGCAGGAGTGGGCCCTTGGCATGACATTGATTGGTGACTCAGGGATTGGTCCACATGTTTATTTTATTTTTTCATTCGTTAGCTGTGTTTTGAGGCTGTGCTCTATTCCAGGTACTGCCTGTCCTGGCTGCGAGCCGGCCCTTTCAGACCTGGTCTCTGTAGGGTGTGGAGGCTGAGGCTTTGACCCCAGCCAGAGACGGGTCTGCTGGGGTGTGGGTTCTCAGTCCTGGCTCTCTCTGGGCCCTGGCAGGACATGCTGAAGAACACCCCCAGGGGCCACCCGGACAGGCTCTCGCTGCAGCTGGCCCTCACGGAGCTGGAGACGCTGGCCGAGAAGCTCAACGAGCAGAAGCGGCTGGCCGACCAGGTGGCCGAGATCCAGCAGCTGACCAAGAGTGTCAGCGACCGCAGCAGCCTCAACAAGGTGGGTGCCCGGACCCTCCACCTGCGCGCCCTTACCTGCTCTGCAGCCTTGGTCACCTGTCTCTCTGCCTCCTGCCCCGCAGCCACCCCCGAGGTGGCGGTGTTCTCTGAGGGAGGGGATCCCTTGCTTCTCTCTGAGCCCACAGGCTTTAACCGAGAGTATTAGCCAGGACTGGACCTGCAAATTGATTACTGTTCATGTTACTTTAGGACAGAAGCTCATTTTGTTCATCCATGTAATTGCCAGTAAGGACATCTGACATGATAGCCTAGTATTGTGCAAGGTCTCTGGAGTCAGAATTTGAGTTTGAATTCAGATTTTGCCATTGGTACTTGCTGTGTGGCCTCAGGGGAATCAGCCAACCTCTCTGAACCTCACTCGAAAAGAGAAGAGTTCAATTCTCCTGAGCCCCAGGACTGCCGCGAGGCAGATGAGGGAGCTGGCAAAGCAGCAGGCCCAGAATCCTTTATATAAGGCGGCTGTGGTCGTCATTACTGTCATTTATAAAGAAGAAGAAAGATGAAAAATCTATACTATGTTTTGGGTTTGCAACTTAGGAAAATTCTGGCAAAAAAAAAAAATTTAAAAGTTTTCAAATGAGCTTGTAGAGAACCCTGTTTTTAAAATACAAGGACAGTACCAAAACAATAGTCACCTCCTAGTCACCTGTTGGTGAACTTCAGTCCTCTGTGTCCCTAGTGGCATGTGACAGGAGCTTCCTGCAGCTGCTCCCCAATCTGGGAGGTCCTGCACCCTGGGTTCTGCCTTCTTCTACCCACAGAGGGTAGAGGTTGGCCCAGCTGATTTAGGGCGAGGCAGCCCTGCCCCGTGGCACGTGGTGAGAACATCGGTCGTTCTTTGGAGAAGGGACATTGTGTGGGGTCACAGGGATGTGTTCAGCTCTTCTAGAGGAAAAACCGGGAGCCTCCTGGCTCTGTGGGCCCCGAAAGCAGAACTACGGCCAGTGACTAAAGTCAATGAGATTTCAGCCACATGGGGCGGGATTTTCTAATAGTATAGGAAGGGTTGCTGGGAAAGTGACAGCCCTATTCATGTCAACTGCGCTTTGCAGTGTATAAGGCTCTCTGAGCCACATTGCCACCTTTGATCTCCACCACAGGCCTGCGAAGCGGGGCTGAGACAAGATAACCCTCAGGGTCCCTTGCAATTCTACGCTTCAGGAATCCCACACTTTAAGACTCTTCTACTTTAGGCGAAATTCAAGCCGTACATGTGTTTTTAGGCCCACACGGTGTTTTATAAGAAAATGGAATTGGTTGCCAACATTTAAAAGTGGAGAGGTATCCCATAAATTCACTGGTGGATCTTCTCGAAGGATTGGAGGCGCTGGCACGCTGGCCCACCATCCTGCGTGGCACCAGTCACCTGAGCAGTGGCTGCCCACAACCCTCAGTCCCCGCTCGCGTCCTTCCAGTGAGGTCTGCTTCTCCTGTTCCAGGAGGATAGAGATGGGAAAAAAGATGGGGTAGAGGCTGGAGCCCCTTCCCGCGGCAGTGTCCCCATCCAGGATCTCTCAGGGCGGGCGTGAGGGCTGGGGGCTGTCCCTCGCCCCCTCCCCACCTGCAGGCAGGATGCCCTCAGCTAGTAACACACACGCCTTCTGTTTCAGAATGCCTCTCGAGAAAAAGGCTTCGGCCCAGCCATGCCGCCTGCGCTGGTACTCAATGGTCTTTGCACTTGGGAGCATCTTCTTCTCTTCCCTCCGTCAGCTCCCTTTCTATAACCAGGAGGGTTTCTCTTGCCTTGGCTCTCACACCTGTGCAGCAGGAAGAGCTCCCTCTGGAGAAGGAAGCCCTTTTCCACGCAGCTGCTCTGAGAAGGGCCGTCCGTTCTGTTCCCCACGAGGACCCGGGCAGTAAAGAGCAGCGGCGACTGGCTGTGGGTCGGGAAGACGCGTTGCCATTGGGCATAGAACTGGAGGCTCAGTTTCTCCACCTGTCAAGCAGGGGGCGAGTTCGGTCCGTGTGGGATGCTGTCGTGAAGAGTGCGGTGGTGGCCGCACACTGCACCTGCCCCCTGCCAGGGCCCCCCTGGGCAGCCTTGGCCAGTTCCGAGAACGGTCCTGTGATTTTCCTCTTGTCATCTGTCACCCAGGGAAAAGTGGAAATGAAACTGGGTGTGTCCGAAACGGAACTCTGTGGCTGTTTTAAAATGTGCCTGCTCAGGATCCTCCAGGCACATTGTTTGTGCAATATCTGGATTTTCCTTTTTCATTTCTTTTTTATCTGCTTAAGGGGCAGGGGGATGGTTGCCAGAAGCTCAGGGGACTTTCCTCCCCCGAGGTTTGTGTCACAGCAGTCTTCCATGGGGCCTGCTGTTTTCAGGGGCCCAGCCAAGTTTTCACGAGCTTGTGGTCAGCTTGGTGGTGGACGTGGTGGGGCGGAGGAGCCCAGCCTTAGCAGTTATGGGGGTACCCCTGGGGGACCCCAAGTCCTTTTATGTTTTAGGAGCAATGGGGCCTCCCTGACTCCTGTCTCACCCAGCCAGGAGCTGGAGGGTGTGTGGCCGGCTGCCCAGTGCTGAGGATGGTGCGTGTGGCCTGGCTCCATCCTATGCTGGTTCTCGGCAGGTCACTTCACCTCTGGCATCTCGGTTTCCTCGTGTGGGGATGGGGATGGCCTCAGGGGACTGCTGGGCCGATGAACTGTGCTGGTACCGTCTGGACTTCTGTGTTGACTTGAGGGACATGGTTCTTTGGAGGTTGACAGAGCGTTCTTTCCAGGAGAGGTTTTGGGGCGCTCAGCCCTTTTCCTAGTGAGGATGGGGAGGGGGAGGAGGGTAACTGTTGTCCTCAGAGTCATGGGTTTTGGGAATGAATTTTGCTGAATACT